ACATCAAAGGAACAAAAGACTGATATGTGGGTGAAAGCCCTTTTTTCTAAAGGTCTAACTGTAACTTTGACCATCATAGGGTCAGCAGGCTTTCCGCTTTGGTCTGGGCTGGGTGACTTGACAACAATCTCAGCTTTATGAATATAGCTACGTGGATAGATAAATATTTAATAAAATGTTACTGTTAAAAGAAGTTTTGATAAAAGGAAACCTAGTTTGTACCACTGGAATTAACAGGCTTTAGTATTGCCCCAGATAACTAAATTAGGAAGTGTATATAAGATATGATTTAGTGTAAAACAAGAATGGGCTCGTGCCTGTCAAACCAGTCTCTGACTGTGCATGCTAACCCCCCTTCCTGACTCATCATTACCCTGCTGTCTTGTGGCTCCATTTTCATTCTGGTTTAGAAGCTTCACATCCTATTCATGAGATCATTTTTCACATTCAGTTCTTTGTGTTTCAGATTCCTTATGAAGAGGTGCAGGTAGTGCAGGATTTAAGGGGTTTGCTGGTCTTGCTATTCACGTGGCCACTCCAGCACTGAGATAGTTTTCAGGACTCACAAGGCTCAGTTGAGCTGGTCACTCATCTTGGATCAGGGATGTGCTCCTAGTTCTGTCAAAGCACAACAGATGTCAATAAACATTGATACGGTGCTGGTGGGAAATGAAGCAAAAACTGGGCTTAAAATACCAGTCTAGTGCCCAGCCCTGCCAAAAGAAGTTACTTATGTCCTAAGTCATAATAACTGGAGCTGAAATAGCAATGTTGGTCATATATTCATTTTTACCTCATCAAATAGCTGACCATATCTAGCTATAGTGCTGCTTTACAGGTTGTGAGCCGGATAATAGTAATGTGCTTTAAACCTCATGGATGTGAGGAAAAGGCTGCTGGTGCTGCCTGCTGACCTGTACTGAACCTGTTTTCCAGCACATGGTATTTAACACTGCACGCACTAATCCAGGCTTAATGTGGAAGAGGAGAGCCCATCAGATGAATTGTGCCAGTGCTTGATGCACCAGAAGCAGTAAAGCATTTTGTGGGATTAGATCTTTTAACGCAGTAGTGGCCTGTGGCTCCTCTGCTTGCCTTTGCTGCACGTTCAGCGTGTGGAGCAGTCAGCAGCACGTGGGCAGGAGCCATCGTCAGGCAGGAATCGCTACAGGAAGGGACGATGTGCACAGCAAGGAACCTGCCTATCCTGTTGTGAAGGAAAGCAGGGATGCCTTGTGCTGTCTGCAAGTACCAGGCCAGGGTGGGTGATCCGTGAGAGACCTGGGTGGTACCTGCACACGGAGTCAGTAGGAGCTTGTCCGTGGGCCGGCTGTAGCAGGTAATTACAAATAATTGCAAAATAACTTAGAAACTCAAAGCACTTCCTCTGTAACTGATCTTAAATACAGTTTTCAAGAGGTGCTTGGCTTCACTGATGTCGGATTTTAGTAGGGCTGGCATTAAGCTTGTGATGTTTTGAAATAAAAATTGTCTGTAAGTGGCACTTCCAGAAACTGAGCAGCTGCAGTCTGTGCTGGCCACTGTAAAAGCTGCTCGTGCTCCCCATTACCCTCAAATCAGAGCAGTTGTGGTGCTGGTGGCTTTCCAGGAATTGTGTGCACTTCCCCAGGAACCCTTCTGCAGTGGGCAGGTAGGATGGATTCACCGTTCCTACCCTTGCTGCCTGAAAACCAGGGTTCTAGGTTTTGTCAGCTTGAGAGTAGCATAGGAAATCCGTGTCAGGCTGCTTAAGTGTCATTTACAGCTACAAGTACTGGATTTCTAGACAGCTGAAGTTAGGAGAGGGTCCTACCTATGTTAGTCCTACTGGCCACCCTTTGCTGATCCAGGCCAGGATGCTCTTGGCCACATGGGATTGACTCCAATCAGGGAATAATTTGGTAGAAATACTAGGTTTGTATTTTCAGTCAAATAACACAGGATCCAGTGAGGCTCTTATTTTTCTGGCATGCATAGCAAAATCTGCTTTATTGAAATAAAGGAAAGGTTACAAACCTGAAGTGCAGTCATTTTTGAGGATGCATAGGAGCAAGGCAGTAAAACAGGAAACAAAGTGACCATGCTGGTAGAAATATTCTTGAAATACATGGTGTAACTTGGAGGTTGAAGTTCTTGAGCAGTAGCTGTAAATGCCTCTAAAGGGCTGGATATTTTGCCAGGCTGAACTACTGAGAGGAGTTTATTATTTTTCTAGGGACTATAATTGTGACTAATTACAAACTGGAGAAGGAGGGGATGGGTCGGTGGCTGATCTCCACCTTTCTAGCTATTGACTGTGTTCAGTGATGTCAAAGAGCCACAGCAAGCAGTTGCCTAAAATCAGAACACCAAAATAGTTAATTCACTCCAGTTTAAGCTCAGCTAGAGGAGTCAAGCCCATGGTGAATGCAGTAACTGTTGGGTACTTGCAGGGCGGGGACTGAGCTGCACCTTTAGTCCTCCTAAATTAGTTTGTCTGGCTGTAATGGAGCTAACAAGCTGCCTGAAAAAAACTCTGCCACTCTCTAGTACGTAGCAGCCTGGCTGAACTTAACAGAAATGAGCTGATTTGCCTTGCATCGGTGAAGTTATAGGGAGGAAACCATTCTGGGAGCTCTATTTAGAAGTAAGTTTATTGCTGAATTTGGTCTTTTTGGGTTTTAACATGTTTAGAATCGGGCTTTCAGTGGGAAAAAATAATGACCTGTAATCGTGGCTGTTGCTGCATCTTTGCAGTCTTGCAGCTTGTCTCGAAAATTCTTGGCTTGGTTAACCCACACAGAAACTCAAATAGCATTCAGGGAGTCAGAGTGGGCTTACGTAACTTCCCATGCTTCCTCTGGCACAAGAGATGTGAAGTAATTCTCTCGGACCTGTTTGTAATGCCCTGGAAAAGCATCTGGTTTCACTTTCAAATTCTGGATGATCTCACCACAGGGACTGAAAGTGGTGCTCTTTTTGTTTGGGAAAAAAAATCCCCGCCTGTAATGTGAGGTTTCACGTTTTGGTGTCTTTTGGCTCTGAAATCAGGTTTGTAGAGAAGCTTCACTTGGCTTTATACTCCAGTAGAGCATCTCAACGTGCTAAACAATTACAGGCTAGTTAGAAATAGCTTATCAACACATAAAGTGACTGCTTTCTCTGAGTATGCGATGGATTACAGTGCTGCATCTGTGTGGGAAGAAAAGATTTCTCTAATTTCTCCAGCTGCATTTTCTAGCCCTAGAGCTCAAGAGCATCCTTCACGTGACACAACACCACATTCCATAATGATAATTATTGTAGGCAGGTAGTCTCTTCTACTAAAGGCTTGTGTCTGCACAAACGGATTTAGAGGTTTGGAACAGTCTTCCAGGATCCACAGCTTCTGCAGGAATTTGCATCACATACAGGGACCATAACTGGTGCTCCAGGCTCAGCTTTGGGAGCGGCCTTCCTGAGAGAAAACCCTCAGGGTTAGACAATTTGAGAGCAGAGGGTTAGACAATTTGAGAGGAATGAGACCTGCACTCCTTGACCATCCATGTGGGATATAAGCATGTCAGTTCTGGTACTCTGCTGGCACAGTGCTTTTTGTCTTGACCTCCTAGAAACTGTACCTGTGTAGAAGACAGATTCTGCCAAGAATCTTGTAGGTAGCTCAGTCCTGAGTTTTGTTGTCTCATGCATTTTAATCTCAGTCTTTGGGCTGTTTTACGTCTTAGATCTCATGAAACTGCATGTAAGCACAGGAATGGACTTTCCTGGGAAAACCCCAGTGGTCCAGATGAGTCTGCAGCTACATGATGCAATACCTTGCGCTGGAGTCAATGTGCTCTGCCCTGGGTAAATCTCTGCTCTGCTCCCAGTGCAGGGTGGCTCATTGTAGACATGTCCTAGCTGCAGCAGTCACTCTATTCTGCAGTGGTGTGGTAACAAGAGGCGTTTGCTCACTGCTCTTGGAGCGATGCCATTCCTGCAACTGACCTTAAACCGTGGGCTGGGATTTGAGGTTGTGAGTGTGCTGTGGGAAATGACTGTGGGGTGAGGACTCAGTGCTGCTGCAACAGTCACTGTCATGGACAGGCATGTACAGACCATACAGCCACATGAGCTGACAAGTTTCTTACTTAAAGGTGAACACAAAACCTTCTTTTCTTGGCTGCCTGGCACTCTGACCCCATAAAATTTGTGTTGCAAGGCAAAGGTGTATGCAGATAAGTCAAGTACTTCACAGCTCAGTAATCCCTCTGTTTGGTTGTCTGCTTCTGTTTCTGGGAATAAAACTTAGTTTGTTATGTTGAACAAGTCCAGCACCCTGTGTCCAAGTGGCATGGTTAGGTACTTAGGTAGAAGAGAGTTGTGCCCCCACGGCTGGTTGATGAGCTCTGGAAGGAAATGTTTGCTGTCGTTGTCCATCAATATTCAGTTCATCAAGTTGCACTAATTCGTTAAACAGACACAAGTACTATTGAGACTTCAAAAAGTGCCTGTGGTGGCAAAACACTGTATTAGGAACACAGGTAGATGGGCCACCTTAACTTTGGCACAAGAAAGGCAAAAATCCTTGGGTTATGTAACAATTTTTTTCATAATGGAAAGAACGATTTTAAATATTTGCACAGGCAAATGTAAAACAGGTCTATTCAACTCAGCAAACATTTTTTTAGTCTGTTCTTAAACCCAGTAGTATCTTGAGTTATAACTTTTTCAATATATTTTGCCCTGTTTAAAAACAGTTGTTGAATAGTGTTTCTTGAATTAGGACGTCATAAAAGCCTTTTTTTTTGGCTTGATTTCTGAGCATTACCAGCCCAGGTGTTTAGATTTTTCTTGTTCAGTTAGCATTTTGCTCATAAGAAACTGTGTAGAGTCCACGTGGCCCCCCTGTATAAAATGAGCAATTTAGTAGCCTTAGTGACATGGGGGGTTTTTTCCAATCTTTTCACTGTAATGGTTGCTTGTTGACCTTTTTTGTTCTGTTTCATAGTAAAATAATTTCTTTTTTTTTTTTTTTTCAGGCTCACATTAAATTTCCTATCGACTATCCATATTCACCACCTACCTTCAGATTCCTGACCAAAATGTGGCACCCCAACATTTATGAGGTAAGGTGTCATCAGCTTTAATAATTGAAAACTGCTCATGGAGATTGCCCTAAGCCCAGGGACATCCTCAAATGAGCCTTCTGACTTGGGCTTTGTACTTGGCACAGAATCTTGCATGTAGCCAAGGATGGTGGTTTTCTGTGAGGCTCTATTCCAGTTACATGGAAGTTCAGTCCATGAATGAAGACAACTTTGAGATTTGCAGATTATTGCAGACCCATACTGTGGGTGTTGAATTTCTGAATCCAGAAATCCTCCTGCAGGAGGCAAGTGGGAAACAGTTACCAAAATGACATGTACAAAAGGAGTCTTGGAGAGGAACTCTCCCAGTCCTGGTGGGAAAGATGAAAAACTGGCTCTAGAAACAACTGAAGGTAGGAGGAGAAGCTAACCCAAAACTTCATGGGTGTATTTTGGGTTTACCCTTGAAATACTCCAGCTCTCAGCTTTGTGTTTGTAGCAGTATTTCTTGCAGCTGAGGGAACCTGAAGCAGCTTGCAGGCTGTTTTGGAAACAACAATTAGGCAGTGAAGATGAGGCACTGGGACAACTCCAAATGAAACTGAGACTAACTCAGCAAAGTGCTTGAGGTTTGAGGGCTTGTCAGGAGCAGGGAAAAAAAGAAACCCTTCTAGTGCAAAGATAAAAGAAAACAGCAGTTTAGAGTCTGCTGGTGGGACCAGATGGAGAGGTTGGAGTTGATGTTCCAGTTCTGAGCAGTGAGACTTGAGTAAGGTGTATTTTTCGCATCTCTACTTAGGTCATCTAGTTGAATTTTGGTAAAACTGCATTCACTTCACAGAATCATAGAATTAACTGGGTTGGAAGAGACCTCCAAGATCATCAAGTCCAACCCTTTATCCAGCCCCACTGTGATTACCAGATCATGGCACTCAGTGTCACAGCCAGCCTCATCTTAAAAACCTCCAGGCACGGTCAATCCACCACCTCTCTGGGCAGGGCATTCCAATGCCTGATCTCTCTCTCTGGAAAGAATTTCTTTCTAATATCCAACCTAAACCTCCCCTGGCAGAGCTTAAGCCCGTGCCCTCTTGTCTTGTCTTGTTCGTTATTTTTATGACACAAGAGTTCTCGGTCCTAGATAGAATTGTGGCTGTTTCCCCTTGGCAGATGAAAACCTCATCCTCCTTGTCTGTATATTTCATAATGTATGTAGGAAAAGGTTCACCCCTTGCCTACCCTGATCCCTAAAACCTTGTGCTGATCTCACCAGGCCCCATTACCCTTTACCCTTCCAGACTCTAATGCAGTGCGATTACCAAACACATAACACTGATTGTTGCAAGAGGGAAACTTTCTCACATCCTTGCCTCCCTCTAGTATCTTCATGTTGCCAAACATCTGCTTGTCCACATGCTGCTCACCTCATCACTTCAGGAACTTCTCCCAAGTGCTGTGATACCCTCTGAGCCACCAGCATTGCATTCTCCCAGGAAAGGGTTAAAGGAAAAACTAAACAAAATTATTAATAAAAGTGTGATGGACTGGGAACGTAAATTAACATTAGTAAAGTTAACTTCACCTTAAAACGATCCTGAAAAAATTCCAAGGTTGCACAAGCCTGTTGGAGTCCTAAAAAGGAAGCTACCTTCTTAAGGCAAACTGTTCCAGCAACATACGTGTGTGCTGTGGTATTCAGCAGCTCCAGGTGCTGCAGTGCTGTGTTCTTCACTAAAACCTGCTTCAAAGTGACAAGGGCTGGCTAGATTAGCAAACCTGGCAGGGTTAATGTGCCACTGAAATCTGGATCCTGATCACAACCCTCCAACGCTGATAGAGGATCGTTTTTGGCTATGAAACAAAAGTCGTTGTTAATCAAGATGAGTTGAAATGTCTGCGAGGCCCTTCAGGTGAGCTGCTGCAATCTGTGGCTGTGATCACTGGCTTGGGCTCAAAGGCACAGATGCTGTTGCTGTGAGCAGCCCTGCTCTGTGTTCCAGCAGTGCTGGAAGGGCCTGGGACCACGTGTGTGGGTAGCTGCCAGCCTGGAATCCTAAACAGGACTGATCCTGCCATCAAGCTGTGCCTCGGAGTGCTGCCCCTCAGCTCAGGCTGTGCCTCCTCATGGTGTGGGACTGCCTCCAGGAACTTGTACATCACCCAGGCAGCAAGGGGGAGCAAGCCAGTGGGGCTGGGGAGGCCAGTATCTGCTGACTGGCCTTAGGACTCATCTGCACCTTCACCCCATCCTGCAGTAAAGCACTGGGACCCCACAAGTCCCTGGAGTACTTTAGTGGAGGATATCGGATGTGGTGGATACTACCACAGCGCTCCTACAAAGCAATTGTGTCAGAGGGCTGTTGCTGATGGAGAACTGGGTTTACAGGCTTCTCCAAATGTTTATAAATGGTGGGCATTATGGAGCTTTAACTCTATATTCAGGAGCTTTAACTCTATATTCTATGAGTAGAACACATATTGGGGATTACGTGGCTGTATGGCTTCCATATGCTGCCAGAATATCTCGCATGCTGGAAGGGATTTTCAGTGAAACCTTCAGAGAGCATCTCCTGCTTTTTCATCTGATATTCCGAACAGCTGTGTCCTAGGAGAGCAGGGCAAGCCTGCCCCACACCATCTGTTCAACATCCTTGTGTCCTGGGAGAACAAATGTTTTCGTACCTGAGCTAACAGAGAGTGATAAACCCTTCAATTCAAAAATTCCTGTGGCAAACTCAGCAACCACTAGGAACACCACATTTTTTTAACCCTTTGGGTCTCCTGTGACTAAAGCTTATTTCTATCACTGTGACAGTACTTGCTATCTGGAGATCAATTAAGTTTTATGCTATCTTATTTCTATTTTTGCTTGCTTTGCTACATTCTGTAAACCTGACTGTCTCTGACTTTAGGTTGGGTTTTTTGCTGATTTGCAGACTAACCCTTGGGTATAAATAAAGTAGATCCAGGATGAATGGAGAACCACTTCCAGTTCTTGCCAGTTTGGGTTTGGGGTTTTTTTTTTTGGGTGTTCATATCAACGAGTCTAAACTGCTCAAGTGGTGGAATTGAATCATCAGACTTCAGCCTCAAGCCAGGCTATTCTCAGTGCTTTTTTCTGTCTTGCAGAATGGAGATGTATGTATTTCAATTCTTCACCCACCTGTAGATGACCCACAAAGTGGAGAACTGCCATCTGAGAGGTGGAACCCTACCCAAAATGTCAGGTAACTGTGGATGTGATGTGCAACAGTGACTTCAGAGGCCTATTGTCTCTACAAGACTAAGGCTTAAGTTGGGAGAGGCTTAGAAAGGAATTTAAAGCTTTGGGGTTTTAAGGCTTGAAGTGGAAACCAGGCTTACCAAGCTGTCTGAGGGTACTGAAGGTACTCTGTGTCCTGATACTGGGCTGACAGTGTGGAGCCTTCTGTCCCATTCACAGGCTTTCATGCTCTTAAGGCAAGTTTGTTTGCCTTCTGTTGTTTGTCTGTCTCCTGTCCTGCTGTGTGGTATCTTGAGCAGTTAGCTGGGTAGTTTTCTTCCTGCCAAAAGAACAAAGGATCACTGTGTACCAATTCAAGGCCTAGCCTGTCCGTGTTTTGGAAACAGCAGCTGAATTTCCTTCTCGTTACCAGACACTGTCCATAAAGAGCTGAGTAGGTGAGTGACAAGCCTCAACTCACTGCTAGGAAAGAGCTTTGGGCATTAATTACACATATCACATAAACACTTCGAGTATTTCATTATATTCAACTTCTCACGGTGCTCCTTCTCTGATTTCTGCTCTCCCTCACCACAGCTCCAGGTTTTGGTGCTTACTCTCATGGAATGTCTTGGGCTTAAGGGTGACATATGCAGACAAAACATTCCTCAGCTGTATCAGAACATGCAAATAAAACTCATCCTTCACTGATAGTCTGCTACCAGCATCAGCCTTTGGCCTGAGTGCCAGCAGAAACACATCCTGCTGGAGTCCCATCTGGCACTGGAAGGCTCCAGAGTGTCAGAGGGAGGCAGTGGAGCTGAAGGTGTGGAAGGCAGCATGCTTGTCATGAGCTGCCTGTGTAACCTGGGGCTGCTCCTCAACTGCTGCTTTTCCTAAATCCTGCTGAGTGTTTGTTTGCCAGAGATGACCAGGGTTGAAGTGTTTAAGGGGGAAAAATGTCATTCTTCAACTTTGAGAGCACCTGTGCTTCCACCTCTAAGGGTGTCATGCAGGCTCATTAATTTTTTTTAAACACAGTCAAGTGTGGACTTTCCCATCACTGGAGATAGGTGAGGAGGGCATGAGTAAATACAGCAAACACTCAGCAAGATATTAAGGAATGCAGCTGTGATTTGTGTGGCAGAGAAAACTGCCTCCTGTGTCCCATGGATCTGAGGGAGTGGTGTCTTACAGGTGAAGCTCTTTGATAATTGTTTGCCCTTCTCCGTCTCCCCTGCCTCCTCCCTGTCCTTGAGCTACACAGGCCAGAACTCGGCACAGCATTTGATAAGTTGGTACATCTGTATCTCATGCAGATAGGTGATGTCCTGTCTCGCTATTGCTTTGTTTCCCAAGGATTCCTGTTTTTCTTGGCTTTTTTGGCTGCCTAAGGTTGGGGCAGACCCTGCAAACAGCACAATGCGCCAAAGTAACCACCAGTACAACCTAAGCCAAAACTTTTAACTTACACTGGAGAGCAAAATGTGGAGAGCTAGGACAAATCTATACCCACCTCTAAAAGTGGCTCTGAGAGGCTACAATGTGGATAGTAGCTGGAACAAAAAAAAAAAATCCCTTTTCAACGAGGAATGTAATAGGATTTGTTGGTTGGGAGCACCAACTTATCCACACCATGTCTGTGCTGGCTGCTCTTCCCTAGTGGTAAAGGGATGTATGGAGACTCCTCTATAGACAGCAGCACTGGAACCCCTTTGAAACAGTTCACTGTTCCCCAGAATGGGGTGGGGGATGTAAGGAAGCAGAACCAGGTTTGAAATCCCTCTCTCTTCACTCTGTCAGCTTGCATGAAACAACATGCTAGGACGTGATCCCTGGGATTCCGTCGACTTTGTTTGTTCTACAGTAAAGCTGCTGCACGATGCTGGAGCTGACATGGTGGCTTTGCAACCTCTTTGCTGAGAATCAAAGGCTTTTAAACGAATTCTTGAGATGAAGTAGATGATGATTTCTTCTGCCCATCATTCCAGTCTGACCAGACCGTTTTTTTTCTGGAGCTGCAGGTCTCTTTTCCTACAGAGCTACATAATTTGGAAAATAAATTGTGTAAGACTCTTCTGATAGCCATGCTAGTCTGGTCAGACACCAGTGTTTAGTTTCAAAACCTTTCAAGAAAATCAGCAATGAATGAGAAAAAGAAAATGAAAAAGAATGAGAAAAAGAATATGGCCGAGCTTTTCCTGGAATTGCATCCCAGATATATGATCTGGTAGATGTACTCAGCACACGCTGCTCTGAGGATGCCCTTGAATCAGTGCAAATACAACTGTGGCTTCAAGTCTCCTTTAATCGAGTTCTGCAAAGGGGCTGTCATGTACTGCTGTGTTTCAAGCCTTGCTCCTTGTCTCTTGTTCTTCCCTGCCCTTGGATGGGAAGCTGTTGCTGTTGGGAGCACCGGGACAGGTGGAGCTGTTGCAGTGTCCGGGTGTGCGGAGCTCGCTGTTGGTGTTTGTGCTGGTTGTGGCACAGGAGCTGAAGTGCAGAGGGCTGAAGGAACTACAGGAGAAGGGTCTCTGGGCAAGGGGGTGGTGTTTGCCCCCAGTAAATGCCAGCAGAGCAGGGCAGCTGGCGAGCTCTGGGTTGCTGCTGGAAATCCAGGAAGGGTGTCTCTCTGCCAGGGGTTACGTGACTGGCTTATGCTGGCTTTGCTGAGCACCAGCAGCTGAATCCCTCTGGGCCTTGGCAGCAGGCCTGGGTGTTGAAAAACATCTGCACTGCCTTCCCCTTGCTGTGCTCGAGTGCTGCTGCTGCTGCAGCTTTTTTAGTGATACACAAGCTGACGAGAGGAGAGACTTGCCCACGGCCTCAGCCTCTTACCACCCAGTGGGGCAGAGGCGAAGCAGTGCAGCCTTTTCTGATGGCCTGGGATCCTAATGGTCCTTCTCCTTGTGCAGGGCAGGCAAACAGCCTGGCTTCCTGCTGGGAGGCTGCATGCCTGCAGGAACAGGCTCACTGAGCAGGTTTCCAGCCCTGCACCATCTGTGGGTGGTGTGGACAAGCTGAATTCTGCTCTGGTTTCAGCTTTGCCTGCTGCCCTGTCACAAGCACGTGCACAGACACACTGAACTGCGGGCACATGAGGTTTGTGTTGTGTCACCTTTCCTCATGGATGGCCAGGGTGTGAGGTTCGTAAATACCTGCTCTCACTTAAAGTATTATCCTCAGCTTAAGACTTGGCTTCAAACAAGTTTCTGATGCATCATCCAGAGAAGTCGTCGGCATCCAGAATCCATGAGTGCATTAGCTCTGACTCTGCTGTTGTGGTTACCTCTTTCAGGACTATCTTACTGAGTGTAATCTCTTTGCTTAATGAGCCCAACACATTCTCCCCAGCCAATGTGGATGCATCAGTCATGTTCAGGAAATGGAGGGACAGTAAAGGAAAAGACAAGGAGTACGCCGAAATCATACGGTAAGCTTTTCCACGTGGAATGCTGTGCTACCAGCCTCCTGCGTTGGATCCTATGAAACAGGGTGCTTCCAGAATTTGCTGAAACTCATTTCTTGCAGTAGTTGTTTCTTTGGAAATTAATTTTATCATCTTATTCCAACTCCATGCGTCTGATGCCTCCAGAGTTTTCAGGGCACAGAAGCAGAGCAGGCTTCTGGGGCAGGAGGGCTGGGCTAATATGTCTTTAAATGGTCCTTTTTTCAGACTAATCTGTCATGATGCTCTGCAAAACCTACTGGCTACTAGTACATCCCCATCAGAGTCCCTGCTTGCCTTTTGAGCCCTGCATTGCTTGGGATGTGATGGAAACTGACTGCATCCTACTAATTCCTGTGCTTAATGCACGCATGAATCATAATCATGTCCCTCCAATTCGAAGGAGTATCAGTGGGATTTGGCAAGGCCTTGCAAAGCTGGGTTTGATTAGCTGGAAGCACTGCTCAGTGCTGCCTTCTGAGTTCATGGTTCATCGGGAGCCGCAGGGAGATGATGTGAGAGGGAGCCAGGGCTGCTGCAGAGCCTGGGGAGGGACTGCTGCCATGAGGCCACATCTGCGCTGGCTGTGCCAGCTGGGCCAGCAGGATGTGCCCCTTTTGGAGCTGGCAGAGCAGTCTGTCTGTGCAGAGAGCTGAGCTGGGAGGTTCAGTCCTCCAGCTCCCTCGGCATCAGCAGAGCTGGATGTACTCCCTGCGCAGGGAATGGCAGAGTGAGGAGCAGGCGGGTGGGTGAGGGGATGAGGCTGCCATCTGCTCCTCCCTGCTGGGAGGCAGCAGCCAGAGCCTGTCCTGGGGGGATGGGAAACACTTGGCTTCTGCCGGCCCCAGGCTGGGGTTACGGCTGTGCCTTGGGGTGCAGCCACTCACTCCAACTGCTCTTGTCCTCTGCTGGGAGCTCAGACCTGCCAAAGGCTTGTGGGAATGGCAGTTTTGAGCACACGGGGGGGTGGAGCTGTCAGGGTAGAGTCAATAAATCATCGTAGGAAATCCCTGACCGTTCCTGCTGTAGCAAATGGAATTTGCTCTGGGCTCTGGCAGGTCTCTTACGTGGAGTCCTGTGAAATAACGGATTTCATATGTTGCTGCAAACACTCTTGGCGTGTTCCCAAGGCTGGGACTGCAGGAACTAAATCTATTTCCAGTGCTGTTTGTGGTGCTTTATCCAAACCTCCGATCTCCTGACTCTGAGCTGCCAGGAGGGCTGGGCTGGGCTGGGGCTGGCCGGGAGGTGGGAGTGGAGCTGAGCTGCTGCTGGCCCTGCTCACGTTCCCGCTGTGTCCTTCTCCCCACAGGAAACAGGTTTTGGCTACCAAAGCTGAGGCAGAGAAGGATGGCGTGAAGGTCCCCACTACACTGGCAGAGTACTGCATCAAAACTAAAGTGCCTTCCAATGACAACAGTTCAGATTTGCTTTACGACGACTTGTACGATGACGACATTGACGACGAAGACGAGGAGGAGGAGGATGCCGACTGTTACGATGATGATGATTCTGGCAACGAGGAGTCGTGACCTGCTCCCTCTATGCCCCTGTACTGCCCTGCCGACTCAGGCCAGAAGGGAGCAGCGGTAACCTAGCAGCAGTCCAGCAAAAAAAAGGGGGGGGGGGTGTCAAAAAAAAAAAAGAAAAAAAAGAAAAAAAAAACCACAAACAAACAAAAAAAAAAACCCAACACAAAACTTTGTCTCCTGCTGTCTCCTGTTGTATGGATCTGTTTGCTCCTTTTTTATGGACCTCTTAGAGACCCTCCACAGAATGTCTGAATTCTTGCATTCTTAACCCTTTTATCACTGTATTACGATTTCTTTTTAAAAAAGAAACTCCCCTTTTCACTTCTCTACGAAACGCTCACAGCAAAACAGGTTTGCTCGCGTTTAGATTCTTGAATTAAATACAGTCTTGCATTGAGATGTTTAATGTATTTAAAGCTGGAACAAACCCATTGGAAGCCGGGTTTTCAGGAGCTCAAGTGCTGCATTTACTGGGAAGAAAAAAAATCCCCACGAAGCAAATTGCCAAGGTTTAGCTGCTCCATTTACAATAATAGCGTGTGTACATTCGTTTAGCCTTGTGGTGGTGGCTTTTCCTTTATAAGGTGTGGGGCGGAGAGTGTAAAGCTACTGTGTGTTGAGCTTGATGGGATGTCACTGAAAGGTACAGTATTCCTTTTCAGCCTACTAAGTTAGGAAATAGCTGGCCTCTGGAGCCCCAGAGGGCACAATCAGCTTTGTCTCTGGAAAAGGCTTGTGAGATGAACCCTAAAATAAACACTTAACACTTCACGTCTGTACAACTGAGCCCTGGGTTGCTATTTATTTTTTTTTTAATTGCTTCTTTTTCAGACTAGGATAGGGTTGCAAAAGTTCAGTTTAGCTGTTCTGCTGGCATTTGCTACCAGCTGCCCCACCCTGCAGGGATGAGAACAGATGTGCATCCTGCTGCCTAGTGGGCCACCATTCACCCTAAACTTATTTTTGGCAGTAGGAGAGACCAGTATTCTCCTGCCCCAGTGCTCACTAGCAGCCGTTGCTTCCTGCAGCCCCAGCCCTGTGCAGCTTATGCTGCCTGCCTGTGGGTAGGTGCACCTCTGCCCCAGGAGAGCGGGGCTTCCAGGCTGGAAGGGAAGGCCAGCAGGAGGGTCTGCCCCCAACATCGTGCTTCATTCAGCTGGTGCCCTGAGCTCACCATCCTGCACATTTCTGGGAGCTCTTGGCAGAGCTTAGGGCCCTCCATCGTGGTCAGGGGGATCGAATCATGCATGTTCCTGTCTCAGAACCCTCTTCCCCAGTCCCTCAGCATCCTGACCGTGTTGCAGCTCTTCGTGTTTGGCCGTGGTGCAGTGCCCCGAGCTCACCTTGTGCATGATCCCTGGATCGGCCGCCAGCTCTGGCAGCCCCGGAGCAGCTCAGGGGTGCTGCCCCTGCTTGGGTGGGACCCTCGGTCCCCACAGGCACAGAGGCATCACCATGGCCAGGGCCTGCTCGTCCCCTCCATGTATCTCAGGGTTTTCCATGGTACGTCACCAGCTGCAGCCTCTCCGGGGATTTGTTTGGGATCAGCTGTGCCCCGGGCAAGACTGAGCTTCCAAGTGTGCTGCCCAGAGGGAGAGGAGGGGAAGGCAGCCCTCGGGGAGGAGAGGAAGGTATGTGGGGTTCCGTGTGAAATGAGCGAGGCAGATCTGTTTTCAGTGTTGCTTGGCAGGGGTTTGCTGCAGCAGGGACAGTCCCTGCCCGGGGATGTGCATCCCTTTGCCCCCAGGGAGTGAAGGCAGCCCAAGTGGTGATTCCTTGTCCCCGCTGCTTCCCACGGCCCTCTGCCCTCCTGCTTGCATGTTACCTGGAAAGGCAGCTGCACCCTCCTGAGGTGTCCTGCTCCTTCAGCTCGACCTTCCAGCAAGGACTGACTCAGCCCCAGGTGCTTTTTGGAGCTGACAGCGGGGCTGCCCTGCATCCAGCGAGGGTGGGGCACCCCCAGCCTCACACCAGCCCTCCGAGGGCAGCATCAGGAGTGGCAAAAGGGCCCCTGTCTCCTGGCTGCAGAACTGGTCCCAGGGCCATGCCGGGACAGGGGCACCGACCTTCAGCTTTCAGGTGGCTGGGGGCGGTGAAGGAGCAGAGGGTGACAATGCTGGCTGTGCTGATGGCTGGGTTGGAAATGAGGATACTGCATCTTTCAGGATTTCCCTTGTACTTTTGACCGTCTTCACTGTATACTCTCCAGTGACTTGTATTTCCAAGCTTGGTGTTGTAAGATGCATTATTATGACTCTTGTTTTACCCTTTTTTAAAGACAAGAAAGCAACCTCTTCTGAGCGCTCCGACAATAACCAGACTAATTTCTCTTCCCCACTGTCTTGTGCAGTGTCATTGCTTGTTGACTTGCTGGTTTCCTTTTTTTCAGATACAACTGAAGTATGAGGGGATTTTTTTGAAACTATTTAAGAGATGATTGCAGAAAAATGTTTACCTACTCTGTGTATTGTTTTTTTTCTTAATCCTTTTTCTCCTGTTTCAGCCAATATTAGCGTTTACATTTGCAACTTACAAGTCCCTTCAAATGCAGTTTTCAACCATTCTGAAACCAGCAGGGTACACTAGATTTCTTAGTAGTTTTCTTAGCTGAACTCCCAGATGTTTTCCTTTTTTTCTTCAGTATAATTTACCAGAAAGAATTAACTGATGCATTTTTGTGTTGTCTTCCCCTTCAGTAGTTATATTTTGTCTTTTCTGCACATCTGTCTACTAATAAAAATGTGAAATAAAAATATTTCTGTACTGTTACTTTCCTGGTTGCGTTGCATGGGTGATTCAAAGCTTTGAATGACAAGTTCAGTGCTGCTCTGGTATCAGTGCGTACACCCATACACAAAAATCCGTGAGGTTACTGGGGAATAAAGCCGCTGTCTGACAGCTGCCTGCACCTAAGACTAAAGAACAAACTGATTTGGAAGAGGCCACAGGCCTTGCTGTTGCATTTAGTCTTCTTAAGTCAGGAAGGGGGGGGGACCAGTGAGAAGCTGGTTCATGGATTCGTGACTGGAGCAGGGAGGCAGGACGTGGGTCAGAGCTGCTGCCGTGGGGCTGTGGTGCTGCTGGTGGTCGGTGCTCTGGCAGGGCAGGAGCAGGCACGGCAGGAGGGAGCTCCACTGCTGGGGCAGGGAATGGCTGGCAGAGAGAATGAGGTCATGGCTGCTGGCCCTGCCCGGCCCACACTGTTCCCTGCAGGCCCAGGAGGGAAGTGTGTTTGCTGTGCCTCGATGCTGCAGTTGGGCTAAAATTAGCAGGACAAGCATCAGGGGATTGCACTGCCTGCACTTGGCATCAGTGGCAGAGTAGCAACTGCCCAGTCCAATCTAGCTAAGGCCAAGTGCTTTGGCTGCACAGCTGTGCTGGAGGAATGGCGGTGGCATTTTGGAGCTGCCTTCCCAAAGGAGCCTCCATACTGGGGAATGGGACACACAGGGATGGTAATGTCTGGGATCTGGTTTGCTTATATCTCCTGCCTGGCCCTCCAGCACTGGGCTCTCCTGCCGGGAGTTGCTCCCTCCAGCTCCAGCCTATCCAGCAAACCCCGATGCTGCTCGTGGAGGGAGGGATTCCCCCACCTTTCCTTGACCGCCAAGTGCAGCTGGGCCACCTCAGCTCTGCCATCAGTGCCTGAACAGGGCTTAGAGAGGAAATTGCTGCAGAGTCCTGCAGGAACTGAGTGTAGGGAAAGGGAGAAACACCTTGTTGAGTCTCACAAGGAAAGCAGAGGAGCCTCCCTGTGGCTGACTGCGACACTCTGCCTGTGGGCAGAAGTCCAGAGTAGCTGGGAAGGTGCTGGAGCTGCCTTGGCCGCTGGGTGCTGGGGAAGAGAACGGTGCTGTAGGACATCCCAGTCCGTGTGCTGTCCTTCTGTGCTCTCAGCCAGGCTGAGGATGGAAGGTGCGTGGCTGGGAACAGTGGGGAAGCACTGGCAGGAGTTCTTGCAGTGGCTCTGCCAGGAATCCAAGGCTCAGGGGCTGCTGTGGGCTGGCACCAACTGACCTGCTGCCTTTTCCCAGCTCCACCTGCTTCTGGACCTTGACGCACACAAAAAAGGACTGAGCTACACCTGCAGGGCAGCACCAGATATCTGCAAACAAGAACTCAAATGAAGGCAGTTCTCAGGGGGTTTATGAAGAACTCCTGTGAGGCAGCAGCTCAGACGGTGGGTAAATGAGGTCCTGTTGCTGTCAGGGCACAGCTGCTTGTACAGCCCTTGTACAAACTGGGAGGCCCCAGCCCACAGGCACATCCTCGCCCTTCTTAACATCCCAAAGCCGGTGGCAGTGGGACAGCAGCTGCCGAGAGCTTGCAGCAGCTGCTGGAGTTCGCCCAGTGTCAAAACCTGAGCCAGGGCAGAGGAAGGCCAGGGCAGTTCTTGTGCTGCTCAGAGGCTGGGGGAGGGCTGGGTGACAACTGGGTCCCAGAGTGCCTGAGAGCTGGTAACAAAATGAAAAGCGGTTCTCAGGATAGAAACAATTTCTTGTGGATCTTGAGGGGAAAAAAGAATCCCCGTGCCTGTTGTGTGCTGCATATTTACCCACTTCCTCTGCTGCTCAGGAGGATAAGCAGCAGACTTCCCTCGGGAGCCCTCAGCAGTGCCCTTCCTCCCAGTGCAGCCCATGGACCTCGTGGGCAAAGCAAGGCAGGGCAGTGCTGCAGCTCTGCTCCCTCCCCATACCAGCTGCTCCACAGGGACTCAGCACCACCTCAGAAGAGTCCAAGGGCAGGGACGATGCTCCTGGCAGGAGCCAGGGTCCTGCCCCGATCCCATCCCTGCTGCAGCTGCCTGAGAGCTCTCAGCCCCAGGTGAACTCACCTTGGTCAGACCCACCTGCTGCTCTTACCCTCCCAGCTCAGCTCCTGTTGCCGGAGCAGGTGGAAAGGGACAGGTGGGTAACACTCCTCCTGGAGCCTTTGAAAATGCAGACAAACACCAGTGATATGCTCAGATCTTTATTAGGTGGAGGAAGGGGTATAAAGAAATGAAAATCCTAGAACATTCACCGCACTGGTGCAGGATAGGAAGGGCCAGGAGTTGCCTCCAGGGTCTTTGTTTTAAAAAAAGTGGGGAAGGACAGATGAAGTTTCCATCCAGTAGCTCTGGCTTTCCTGGGAGGGTGGCTCAGGGCAAAAAGAGGTACAAGACACAGCTTATACTTTTATTTAAGAAACTGCTACATAGTTTTTGCCTCTAATGATGCAAAGGAGGTTCCAGGAGCCATCCAGTCTCTTGATAGAGAAAAACAACAACAAAAAAAACCCCAAAAACTGAAACAAAAAAACCAAACCAACCAAAAAAAAAAAAAAAAAAAAACCCACAAAAAAAAAAAAAAACCCTGTCCTTTTTTTTTTCTTATTATTATTCTTATTATCAAAAAATTGAAAAATTCAAAGGCAAGGCTGCAGCTCAAGGCCACAGTGATGAAACAACCCATGACAGTTTGTCTTGCACAACAGGAGGGAGGGAGAGGAGATGAAAGAAAGGGGAAGGCCAATAAAAAAATTCTTTTTCTCTCTCTTTTATTTTCCCCCTCTTTAAAATAACAGCTATACTGGGGGCTGGGGATAGATACAAAACCAACAGGACACATCTTGATTTGCTTTTTTTGAAGGGCAGGTCTCCTTATTTGCCTGAATTTAGAACTGCATTAAATAAATGGGCTCCACCTCCAAAAAAAAGAAGGTCCAGTTTGTCTTTTGTCTGACAGAGTTAAAAAACCCACAGAGCTTAAAAAAAAAACACCTAAAAAAACAAGGAAGGAAGGATTCCCTGGTGCAGATGGAAAATGAATAATTAGTTTTCCTACAAAGAAAATAAAACAGCTTCGAGATGCAGAAAACCACATTTAGGCTCTATTACATTTACAAATACATACATAAATATATTACATACAACGGCAACTCAAAGAGGAAGCAGGCGAGTCACACAGAGGATGGCTGGCTGGCTGCAGTTCTCCCCGCACAGACGTTTGGCTGAGCAGTTACTTCTCCTAATAATTCCAGGAATGGGCTTCGGCTTTTGTTTTCCTTTTTCTCTTTTGTTTTCTTTTTGTTTGTTTGTTTGTTTGTTTGTTTTCTTTTTCCTCCTCTCCTTTCATTCTCTCTCCCTTCCCCCATTTCGGATTCAGTTTGTCCAGTATGGAGAAGTGCCATAGGCGGTTTTGGTAGCCTGAGACTTTTGCTGCATGGTGCTGGGTTGGTTGCGTTGGCCGGATCCACCCTAGACATGGGAAGCAAAGGAGACATGGACATCAGCTGCCACAGCCCCACAGCTCCCAGGAATGACAGGCCCACCCAAGGGTCACCAGGGACAGCCCTGACACCCACCAATGCAGATATGCTCCCCCTGAAAGGGATCTGTTCCTGCCCTGCAACATCTCTGCATCCTGCAATCCAGGGTGAATGGACACGGGGGACAACAAGCAGGAGCTTGGGAATGCACCATCCCACTGCCTCCCACCCAAGACGGGGTCAAGCACAAGGAAAGTGAGGAGCAGGACTGGGGACAGCAAAGGAGCTCTCCCAAGGTGATCAGAGGCAGCGCACCAGACAAGGATGTCACACGTTTGTAGTGCGAAAGCATGTCCTATTTCTGGACTCCCAAGGTTGAACACTCTGTTCTTCCAGGGAATATTTAGACTGAGGAAAGGAAACAAGTGTGCAGGTGAAATCAAACTGGAGCTGACATGTAACCTAGAAGGGGATGTTTCATTTTCCCCCAGAATCACAGTCCAAGAGCTCACGTCCTGCTCTCCTGCCGCAGGCAGGGCACAGCAGCGCCTGCCTCGGCTTCACCCCTCAGCCATCTCTCCATGCTCCTCATTAGGATGGGCTCTACACAGTCAAAGCCTGGCTGAGGCTGGCAGGGACCTCTGGAGGTAGCTTGTCTGACCCTGTGCTCAAGCAGGATCACCTAGAGCCTGCTGCCCAGCACCATGTCCAGACAGCTTCAAGGATGAAGACTCCACCACCTTCCTGGGCAACCTGCACCAGTGCTTGGTCACCATCCCAGCAAAAACATGTTCCCTGATGTTCAGAGAGAACATCTCGTGTCCCAGTTTGTGCCCACTGCCTCTGTTCCTGTCACTGGGCAGCAGCAGAAAGAGCCTGGCTCCATTCCTCTTTACACCCTTCCTTTGGGTATTACATTGATGAGGTCCCCTCTCAGTGCTTTCCAGGCTGAAAACTGTCCCAGCCTTTCCTCACAGGAGACATGATCCAGTCCCTTCATCATCCTTATGGTTCTTCACTGGACTCTCTCCAGTGTGTCCAACCCCTCCCATAGTGGGAAGCCAAGAACTGGACACAGTGCTGCAGCTGTGGCCTCACCAGTGCTGAGCTGAGGGCAAGGATCAGTTCTCTCAGCCTGCTGGCAATGCTGTGCCTGGTGCAGCTCAGGATCCCATTGTCCTTTTTTGCTGCGAGGGCACTTTGCTGGCTCATGGTCAACTTGGTGCCCACCAGGACCTCCAGGGCTTTCTCTGCTGAGCTGCATTCCAGCTGGGTGATCCCTCATATATGTTGGTGCACGGGGCTGTTTCTTGCCAGGGGCAGGACTTGGCATTTCCCTTTGCTGAACTTCATGAGGTTCCCTCCCCAGGTTGGCCAACAGCATCAAGTCTGTCAGTCTGCAATCGTTGCCAAGGCCCTTTCCCAGTGAACAAAACAACCCCCCCACCCCAAGACCCTGCAGGGTGGGGGGAGCAATGCCTTTGGGCAGCTGCAGAGGCAGAAGGGGCCGACTCACCTGC